TACCACCCTACCTGTTCTTCCATTCTACCTCTACTACCATCCTACCTCTACTACCATCCTACATCCACCCCACCCCAACCCTACCTGTTCTTCCATTTTACCTCTACTACCATCTTACATCCACTCCACCCCCACCCTACCCATTCACCCATCCTACGTCCACCCCCACCCTACCCCTTCTTCCATTCTACTCTACTACCATCCTACCTCTACTACCATCCTACATCCACCCCAGCCCCACCCTACCTGTTCTTCCATTTTACCTCTACTACCATCCTACATCCACTCCACCCCCACCCTACCCATTCACCCATCCTACGTCCACCCCCACCCTACCCATTCTACCATGATACCTCTACTACCATCCTACGTCCATCCCCCACTCTACCCCCACCCTACCCGTTCTTCCATTTTACCTCTACTGCAATCCTAACTCTACTACTAACCTACGTCCACCCCCACTCTACCCCACCCTACCCATTCTTCCATCCTACCTCTACTACCACCCTATCTGTTCTTTCATTCTACCTCTACTACCTCTACTAGATTCGTACATCCACCCAACCCCCACCCTACCTGTTCTTCCATTTGACCTCTACTACCATCCTACATCCACTCCACCCCCACCCTACCCATTCACCCATCCTACGTCCACCCCCACCCTACCCATTCTACCATGATACCTCTACTACCATCCTACCTCTACTACCATCCTACATCCACCCCACCCCCACCCTACCTGTTCTTCTATTTTACCTCTACTACTATCCTACTTCCACCCCCGGCCACCCTACTCCTTCTTCCATTCTACCTCTACTACCATCCTACCTCTACTACCATCCTACATCCACCCCAGCCCCACCCTACCTGTTCTTCCATTTTACCTCTACTACCATCCTACATCCACTCCACCCCCACCCTACCCATTCTTCCATCCTACGTCTACTACCACTCTACCTGTTCTTCGATTCTTCCATTTTACCTCTACTACCATCCTACCTCTACTACCATCCTACGTCTATCCCAACCCTACCCATTATTCCATATTGCCTCTACTACGATCCTATCTCTACTATAATCTTTTGTCAACCTCAATACTGCCTATTCTTCTATCCTACCTCTATATACCATCTAACGTCCACCCCCACCATACCTGTTCTTCCATCCTAAGTCTACCCTATCCTACGTCTACCCTCTACTTGTTTTCCCAGCCTACCTCTACTACCACCCTACCTGTTCTTCCATTCTACCTCTACTACCATCCCACGTCCATCCCCCACTCTACCCCCACCCTACCCGTTCTTCCATTCTACTATACTACCATCCTTCCTCTACTACCATCCTACATCTACCCCACCCTCCCTGTTCTTTCATTTTACCTCTACTACCATCCTACGTCCACCCCCACTCTACCCCACCCTACCCATTCTTCCATCCTACCTCTACTACCACCCTACCTGTTCTTTCATTCTACCTCTACTACCTCTACTAGATTCGTACATCCACCCCACCACCACCCTACCTGTTCTTCCATTTTACCTCTACTACCATCCTACCTCTACTACCTTCCTACATCCACCCCACCCCCACCCTACCTGTTCTTCCATTTTACCTCTACTACAATCCTACCTCTTCTACCATCCTACGTCCACCCCCACTCTCCCACCCTTCTTCCATTCTACCTCTACTACCATCCTACCTCTACTACCATCCTACATCCACCCTACCCCACCCTACCTGTTCTTCCATTTTACCTCTACTACCATCCTACCTCTACTACTATCCTACTTCCACCCCACCCCCACCCTACCTGTTCTTCCATTTTACCTCTACTACCATCCTACGTCCACCCCCACTCTACCCCCACCCTACCCATTCTTCCATTCTACCTCTACTACCACCCTACCTCTACTACCACCCTACCTGTTCTTCCATTCTACCTCTACTACCATCCTACCTCTACTACCATCCTACATCCACCCCACCCCAACCCTACCTGTTCTTCCATTTTACCTCTACTACCATCCTACATCCACTCCACCCCCACCCTACCCATTCACCCATCCTACGTCCACCCCCACCTACCCCTTCTTCCATTCTACTCTACTACCATCCTACCTCTACTACCACCCTACCTGTTCTTCCATTCTACCTCTACTACCATCCTACCTCTACTACCATCCTACATCCACCCCACCCCAACCCTACCTGTTCTTCCATTTTACCTCTACTACCATCTTACATCCACTCCACCCCCACCCTACCCATTCACCCATCCTACGTCCACCCCCACCCTACCCCTTCTTCCATTCTACTCTACTACCATCCTACCTCTACTACCATCCTACATCCACCCCAGCCCCACCCTACCTGTTCTTCCATTTTACCTCTACTACCATCCTACATCCACTCCACCCCCACCCTACCCATTCACCCATCCTACGTCCACCCCCACCCTACCCATTCTACCATGATACCTCTACTACCATCATACGTCCATCCCCCACTCTACCCCCACCCTACCCGTTCTTCCATTTTACCTCTACTGCAATCCTAACTCTACTACTAACCTACGTCCACCCCCACTCTACCCCACCCTACCCATTCTTCCATCCTACCTCTACTACCACCCTATCTGTTCTTTCATTCTACCTCTACTACCTCTACTAGATTCGTACATCCACCCAACCCCCACCCTACCTGTTCTTCCATTTGACCTCTACTACCATCCTACATCCACTCCACCCCCACCCTACCCATTCACCCATCCTACGTCCACCCCCACCCTACCCATTCTACCATGATACCTCTACTACCATCCTACCTCTACTACCATCCTACATCCACCCCACCCCCACCCTACCTGTTCTTCTATTTTACCTCTACTACTATCCTACTTCCACCCCACCCCCACCCTACCTGTTCTTCCATTTTACCTCTACTGCGATCCTACCTCTACTACTATCCTACGTCCACCCCCGGCCACCCTACTCCTTCTTCCATTTTACCTCTACTACCATCCTACCTCTACTACCATCCTACATCCACCCCAGCCCCACCCTACCTGTTCTTCCATTTTACCTCTACTACCATCCTACATCCACTCCACCCCCACCCTACCCATTCACCCATCCTATGTCCACCCCCACCCTACCCCTTCTTCCATTCTACTCTACTACCATCCTACCTCAACTACCACCCTACCTGTTCTTCCATTCTACCTCTACTACCATCTTTCCTCTACTACCATCCTACATCTACCCCTCCCTCCCTGTTCTTCCATTTTACCTCTACTACCATCCTACGTCCACCCCCACTCTACCCCCACCCTACCCGTTCTACCTCCCTACGTCTACTACCACCCTTTCTACCTCTACTACCATCCTACCTCTACTACCATCCTACATCCACCCCACCCCCACCCTACCCATTCTTCCATCCTATGTCTCCTACCACCCTACCTGTTCTTCCATTCTACCTCTACTACTATCCTACATCCACCCCACCCCCACCCTACCTGTTCTTCCATTTTACCTCTACTACAATCCTACCTCTACTACCATCCTACGTCCACCCCCACCTTACCACCCTTCTTCCATTCTACCTCTACTACCATCCTACCTCTACTACCATCCTACATCCACCCTACCCCACCCTACCTGTTCTTCCATTTTACCTCTACTACCATCCTACCTCTACTACTATCCTACTTCCACCCCACCCCCACCCTACCTGTTCTTCCATTTTACCTCTACTGCAATCCTACCTCTACTACTATCCTACATCCACCCCACCCTACCCCTTCTTCCATTCTACCTCTACTACCATCCTACCTCTACTACCATCCTACATCCACCCCAGCCCCACGCTACCTGTTCTTCCATTTTACCTCTACTACCATCCTACATCCACTCCAACCCACCCTACCCATTCACCCATCCTACGTCCACCCCCACCCTACCCATTCTACCATGATACCTCTACTACCATCCTACGTCCATCCCCCACTCTACCCCCACCCTACCCCTTCTTCCATTCTACTCTACTACCATCCTACCTCTACTACCACCCTACCTGTTCTTCCATTCTACCTCTACTACCATCCTTCCTCTACTACCATCCTACATCTAGCCCACCCTCCCTGTTCTTCCATTTTACCTCTACTACCATCCTACGTCCACCCCCACTCTACCCCCACCCTACCCATTCTTCCATCCTACCTCTACTACCACCCTACCTCTACTACCACCCTACCTGTTCTTCCATTCTACCTCTACTACCATCCTACCTCTACTACCATCCTACATCCACCCCACCCCAACCCTACCTGTTCTTCCATTTTACCTCTACTACCATCCTACGTCCACCCCCACTCTACCCCACCCTACCCATTCTTCCATCCTACCTCTACTACCACCCTACCTGTTCTTTCATTCTACCTCTACTACCTCTACTAGATTCGTACATCCACCCCACCACCACCCTACCTGTTCTTCCATTTTACCTCTACTACCATCCTACCTCTACTACCTTCCTACATCCACCCCACCCCCACCCTACCTGTTCTTCCATTTTACCTCTACTACAATCCTACCTCTTCTACCATCCTACGTCCACCCCCACTCTCCCACCCTTCTTCCATTCTACCTCTACTACCATCTGTCGTGTCTGTACATCATTTAGAACACTTTGGACACAACAAAGATAACACAATGGTCCAGGTTTGGGAGTCATATCTCTGCACGTTTTATTAACACAAGGTGGCGCTATACCACATCTCCTCTCCTTCCGCACAAAATTTCAAATTTCTTTGTAACAGTATCATCACATGTGATATTCCAGTATACATGTATTTGCCAGTTTGCATAGATATATTGTTATCCGGTATCGATCAATAACAACAAATAAAGAGGCGGTTTGAATTTCTTCACAAAAAAAAAAAAAAAAAAAATCCTTATCCTACAAGTTTTTTTTTTTGTTTTGTTTGTTGCTGTTGTTGCTTTTTTTTTTTTTTTTTTTTTTTTTTTTTTTTTAACTTATGCTTGGTTCCTTGACTGTGAAAATGTATAAACACTGTTTACTGAACATTCACCCCTTAGGCTCTGATCTGACTATGTAACATACTTATTCTGACTCCGTATTATAAAAAAAAAACATAGATGATTTCATAACAACAAAATTACTTTTCATCTTAAAACGTCAAACTATGCATCACAGATGCATTTCTTTTCTTTTTTAATGTACAATTTGTACAAATTACCAAACAGTATTGATCATAATCCTCATATCCCAACATATTACTCTGATCTCATCTTATCAATAACATTATGACATGCAACAAGAACTGTTACACATTGTGTGTTTTAGTTTTTTACAAATCCAACCTATCTGGTTTACTGATGTGACGTTTTGAACGACGGAGGTTTTGCTCTGTGTGTTGCTGTTGTTCTGTGTGACTTTTGTCTTGGGTCTGGGGTATTTTCTTAGGTGACTGAGATGTGTGTGTGTTTGGTATGTCTTCGTCTGTCAAGGCTCTTGTGATGGTGTCTCTGTCATTGTATATGTCTGTGTTCGGTACCGTTTGTCTGAGTGGCTCTGCCATTGAATCTACACACTGCGACATCCTTCTTATCTGGTCGACATGCCTCTTCCACCGAATACCATCTACCACTACTTGATAAGTCACTGGACCAAGGACTCTGGTCACCATACCTTCTGACCATCTTTCAGAATGAATCCGAAAATCTAACACTCTCACTCGTTCACCAACCTCAAAGCTTCTCACTCTCTCTTTCTTCGGAGCTCGCTTCTGCTGTAGTTTTAAGCCTAAATCTGGTCTCACTTGACTCAGCCGTGTCCTCAAGTCTCGTCCCATGAACATCTTTGACGGTGTTTCTTGGGTCACCACATGAGGAGTGGTCCTGTATGACAACAAGAACCTAGCTAACTTCAGCTGTACATCACCCCCATCCGGTTTGGCTTTCTTCATAGCCTTCTTAAAGGTCTGAACAAAACGTTCAACTTCGCCGTTCGAAGCTGGGTGCTTCACTGCTGACTTGATGTGCTTGATGCCATTCTTCTTCAAAAACACAGCAAACTCCTCTGCAACAAATTGTGGTCCATTATCAGATACCACTTCATGGGGAAGGCCATATCTAGAAAACAAACACCTCAACACCCGAATGGTATTCGCTGCTGTTGTAGACCTCATGGGAATGACCTCTGGCCATTTACTGTGAGCGTCTACGACTAGCAAAAACATCTGGTCCAGAAATGGTCCAGCAAAATCAACATGCACTCTATGCCATGGCTGGGATGGCCATGCCCATGGATTCACCGGTGCTGCTGGTGGTAAGGTCTGCATGGCTTGGCAAGATGAACAAGCCTGTACTAAGCGTTCAATATCCTGATCTAGACCTGGCCAATAGACATGCATTCTGGCAAGACTCTTCATCCTCACCATCCCCTGATGGCCTCTATGGAGCTCTTCCAAAATATGTTGCTGCAAACCATCTGGAATGATCACACGAATTCCCCAAAGCAAGCAACCACTTTCTACTGTCATCTCATCTTTCTTCCTCAGCCAAACCTGCAACTCTGGTGAGATCTCGTCCCTGCAAGGCCATCCATTCTGAACAAAGAATCTAACCTTTGGCAACACCCTATCAGTGTCCGTAGCTCTCCGCACTCTATCAGCTGTCACCGGCAGTGACTTCAACTGTGTCTCATTCATCTGTGTAGCTTCTTCAGTCCACTTCACTACAAACTCATCCTCCTCGCTCTCCACCTTTCCTGAACCAGGCAGACGTGATAGGAAATCTGCATTGGCATTCTGCTGGGATGTCCGATATTTTATATCATACACGTATCCTGAAAGCAAAATTGCCCAGCGTTGCAGCCTTGAGGCCGCTAGGACCGGAATCCCCTTCTTGGGTCCAAGTAGAAAGGTCAATGGTTTGTGGTCCGTAAGAAGCATAAACTTCCTACCACAAAGATACTGATGAAAATACCTCACACCATACACAATAGCTAGAGCTTCCTTCTCCAACTGAGAGTAGTTCATTTCTGCCTTTGTCAACTTCCTAGACGCATACGCAATCGGTTTGTCCCCCTCTTCTGTCACATGGGAAATGACCGCGCCTATCCCATATGGTGATGCGTCCACCGCCAATGTCACCTCTTTGCTTGGATCGAAATAGACCAGTACCTTGCTGGAGCTCAGTATCTTCTTCACCAAGTCAAAGGCCTTCTGGCATTCAGAAGTCCACTCGAACACCTGCTTCTTCTTTAACCCATCAATAGGTTTCAAGATGGATGCCAGATTCGGAATAAATTTCCGATAGTAATTGATTAGCCCAGTAAAAGACTGTACCTCTGACGCATCTTTGGGTGGGCTTGCCGACGCAATGGCTTCAACGCGCGATGGTGAAGGATGCAACCCTCCTGTGGCTGCCGCCAGAATTTGTCATTAGTATTTTTAATTTTTGTTCATAGCACCACCTATTTTACATGTGCATCGCCCTTTAAGTAATTTCTTTTTGTTACTTAAGAAAGATTTACAGCGCATGCCTAGCGCGGGTCAATGTCAATAAAAGGCCTACAAACACATTTTTAGTACGCACGAGAAAATAGTTCCATACATTCAAGCATAAGAAATAAGTTATTATCATTAATTATGTACTGAAATGTAAAGTAATGTTCATTGAAATGCGAATAACATTAGTAAATTCTATCAAAACTAAATCGTTGGTCGTTTTAAGTAAAATTCCAGTTGGACAAATTATTTGATATCCGTGTGCCGATAAGTTCGGTGAACGCGTTGACCCTTGGCTTTTCTGAATTACGACCTGGCCCAAGCAATACGTGTTTTGTGGGGTCTTCAAGAAACGCCAAAGTTTCAAGGTATATTTTGCTGCCCAAGGATGGAAAAGTCCTGCCAACGAGTTTTCACGGCACTGTTCATCACTGTTACTTTGTTTTGACAATCGTTAAGTCAAATAAAGACATTCGTCACCAGAAAATGAACATCCGTTTCAACGTTGAGTTATTTTGATCCTGCGGCAGCAACAGTGAAAACTCGGATGGACATGACACCTGAGAAATCCATAATTGGATCAACTACTCAAGCCAAATATTTGATGTGATGTCTGGAACTGCATTCGTCCTCACCTGGCCACTAAGGAAGCTGACGAGGAACTCGGCAAGACACGGGCAATCAAACGGCTTGGAGGTTGATCATCGCTCAAGGATGTCAGGTTCATTTTCATCAAAATAATTGAAGATTGAAATCAAAGAAAGAACACTAGAACATTTATATGCGATTGAAATTTCTCGTTTGGAAACTTAAGCAATAAACAAGCTAAAGATTGATTTAGGCTTGCATATCAACTTCTCGAGAGAATTTCAGATTTAAAACCTTTAAGATCTCTAACAGAGTCTTGGTTCGTATCCCAGAATTGTAACAGCTATTTATTCTGATTTGTTTGGATAACGTAATTTAAAACAACATAAGACTTGATTCCCTTATGATGTTTGGGATTTAAATTTTCAGCTAAGATTATAATTTTCTTAAAATACTTATCTAACGAGTGGAGATAAGTTTACAGAATTTGTTATGTGTATGTAACATCTCATCAAGAATAACCTTGTGTGTGCACTTATAGATGATTTTGAGACAAAATAACATGATCAAGTTCATTTGAAAGGATATTTTTTTATTAAGATTGAAAAATTTTCTAAACTAAAAAGAAACTGACAACCGATAGTGTTTTCCTTTAAGAACAAGGGAACAAAAGGTCATAATAATTTGAAATTGATTAGAAATCGGGTTACCTTGTTGATATTGGAATTGATTTGGATTCATGATAATATCATTAATTCTATGCTACGTTTGATATTTTTATTATTTCAAAGCTTGAATGTATCGAATTGTATGTCCTGCGTAGCGCTGTGTTTTTATCGTGCCCGAATTGAGATTTGGGTTAAAGCAGTTATCTTTGCTATTTGTTATCAGCTACTGCCATTTGCTGTTACCAGCCCACTCCCACACGCCCATTTCTATTTCACTTCCAAACTTTGATTCAAATTCAAACTTCAAATTTCGGTCAAGATTATTTAAATTTGATCTCAAACACTGATTTTCTCGTTGGTTTATTTACCTCAAAAATATATCGTTCAATATGGAAGGGCAACAACCAACTGAAAATAACTTGACTACTGACTCGACTAACTTACCTCCTGAAACACTTCGCCGCTCCACTCGTCCTGTCAAATTGACAGAGAAAGCATTGCAGAATAAAGAAGACGACCTTCAAGGTAAGTTTTTTGTTGAACATATAGATTTGCATTCGATCATACAATCTACTCGAAATAGCTTATTGTCTCAAAACATTGATGGTGATAGCTTAGCAGTGAATAAGCTTGACATTACTGCTAGGCTCAATTCTTTGAAGGAGATATTTGTTGAGCTAAAAAGGCTCAATGAAGACTCCATTGATGATGAGGTTATTGAGGCAATGGATGAATCTTCTATTTCTGTTCGTAATATCTTATCGGATATTGATAAGGTATCCAACATGTCTTCTTCTAGACAACCATCAATTCGGTTGGCGCACTCAACACAATCACGACTCTCGAGGACATCTTCCAGATCGTCACGACGAGTTGCAGTCGCAGCAGAAGCCGCTGCATTACAAGAAGAGCTTACAGCCCAGAAGCTTCAAAATGAACGGGAAAAGGAGCTCGAAAGAATGGAACTTGAGGAAGAAATGAGGAGGAAGCAAGTAGTTTTCAAAATGTCCGAGCTGAAAAGACAACTAGAAGAGGAAAGACTACAAGGCAAGCTCAAGGCACAAGAAGCAATTATGAGAGTCTACGATGAAGAAGATGGAACCAGCACAGTCTCTTCTTCATCCTCGCGTGGAGGTAAAACTGTTGTCAAAAAGATCGAAGATCAGCCAAATCCAACTGATGTGATCCCAAGGGCATCTCCCAAGTTAGAAAGCAAATTGATTGATGAACCAGCCTCCATCGTGTCACAGCAAGCGCAAGTAGTGCTTGATCCCCAAGCTCCGATGTTCCAGCCAAGATCACCAGTTTTAGATCTCGCTGATGCCTTGGCTCAGAGTCGTCTACCCGTTCCGGAGCCGCCAATATTCACTGGAGACCCACTCCAATATCCAGATTGGGTGTCGGCTTTCACTACTCTGGTAGAGCGAAGAGGCATCCCTCCTGGTGAAAAAATTCACTACCTTCGAAGGTATCTTGGTGGTCCAGCAAAGGAGGCAGTCAGTGGCTACTTTCTCCTGAGGTCAGAAAATGCATTTGAGCAAGCAAAGAGCACCCTTCAAAAGAGGTTTGGCAATCCATTTGCTATTGCTGAAGCCTTTCGGACAAAGTTGGATGTGTGGCCCAAGATAACCAGCAAGGATCACAATGGGCTGCAGCGGTTTGCAGACTTCCTTCAACAGTGTCTGGTAGCCAAGGCTGAGATTGTCGATCTCAACATTCTGGATGATATACGAGAGATCAACCGAATGGTTGCTCGACTACCAGATCATATCGTCCATAGATGGAATCGCTCGGTGGCACAGACAAAAAGGGAGCGACTTTGTTATCCTAGGTTTGCTGACTTCGTTTCTTTCATTGGGAACGAAGCAGACATTGCTAATGATCCTCTGCTCACTGTGGATGTTGGCAAGACTAGAGAGAGAAAACAGGAAACCGCAGTCTCAAAACGGGTAACCCTCTCTACGTCTGGCTCAACTTCACAGAAGCAATGTCTGTTGTGCAAGAGACAATATCATTCCCTGAATGACTGTCGGGAATTCCTTCGGAAAGACATGTCCCAGAGAAAGGATTTCATCAAAAATGAAAGACTTTGCTATGGCTGTCTTGAAAAAGGCCATATGTCTAAATATTGCCAAAGCAGACTGGTCTGCAAGAAGTGCAGTAAAAGGCATCCAAGCTGCCTTCATGAGGACCAAAGAGATTCGAACAAGGCCAACTTGGCATCAAGCCAACCGAAGGAAGCTCAAACCGCATCGACCTCAAATCCTCAAGCTGTAACGCACAAAGTACAAGGCGATGAACGTAGTGACCTTACATCAATGATTGTGCCTGTGTACCTTTCTAGTACAGAGAGGCCTGACAAGGAGGTTCTAGTGTATGCACTACTAGACTCCATGTCAAACACCACCTTCCTTTCCGAAGATGTCGGCCAAGACCTGGATGTACAATCCCAGCCTGCCACATTGTCGTTGACAACTTTGACAGATGAGATATCGATCTCAACCTTCAAGTATGACAATCTTCGTGTCAGAGGTTTTTATTCCTCGGAGAAAATTCGTCTACCCTCCACATTTACTAGGCAGTCTATCCCTCTGGACGACAGTCATATCCCGACTCCAGAAACTGCCTCCAAGTGGCCTCATCTCGTGTGTGTGCAGGATATGATAGCGCCAAAACAAGACTGTCCTGTCGGTCTTCTGATTGGCTACAATTGTGCACAGGCCCTTGCTCCTCTGACGTCAGTCCGAGGCCAAAATGGTGAGCCGTATGCTGTCCAAACAGACCTTGGTTGGAGTATTGTTGGAGGTCAGTCTGACTTGTCCAACAGCTTCGATTCGTTTGGCCACACATACAGGACAGTCAGCATGAAGGTAGAGGCCCCGATCGATATCAAGAAGGTGACATTCGCTTACCAGTCTTCCTTAAAGGAAGCGACTGCATCGGATTTCCTTCAGCTCATGGAAAGGGACTTCCAAGAAGCTGAACAAGCTGATGCAATGTCACAAAATGACAAAAAATTCATTCAAGTTGTCACCGAAGGTTTACGCCAGAGAGAGGATGGGTTCTATGAGATGCCTCTTCCATTCAAGAAAGGACCGCCATCTCTTCCGAACAATCGACAGGCTGCTTTGGGTCGATTAGCAGGTCTCAAGAAACAGTTCCTGAAGAAACCTGAATATCACAGTCACTACAAGGTATTCATGAAGGAGATCTTGGCACGCGGTGATGCAGAGATGGTCGGTGATAGTAGTGACAAAGGCTTGTGGTATATTCCTCACCATGGGGTATATCACCCTAAGAAGCCTGGCAAGGTCAGGGTTGTATTCGATTGTAGCGCCAGGTATCTTGGGACAAGCCTCAATGACCATCTCCTGCAAGGCCCTGACTTGATTAATCCTCTCATCGGTGTCCTGTTGAGATTTCGCCAAGGTCCTGTGGCATTCATGTGCGATGTGGAGAAGATGTACCACCAGTTTAAGGTTGCAGATCCACATCAAAACTATCTGCGTTTCTTGTGGTGGGAGGATGGGGATCTCTCCAAGACCCCAGTAGATCATAGGATGAAGGTCCACCTCTTTGGGGCAACCTCATCTCCGGGCTGTGCCAACTTTGGCTTAAAACAGATTGCGGAGGACCACAAGAAACTCGGTGACCGTGCAGCCAACTTCCTCAAGAGGAACTTTTATGTCGATGATGGCCTAAAAAGCATGTCTTCTGAACAGGAAGCAGCTGTGCTAATCAAGGACGCAACTCAAATGTGTGCTAAAGGCAATCTACGTCTGCACAAATTTGTGTGCAATAGCAAGGACGTAACCAGCACCATTCCAAAATCGGAACGTGCCACTGTCACGAATGCAAGTGTTCAGCTAGGTGAACAAACCTCACCAATCGAAAGAGCTCTTGGGCTTCAGTGGTGCGTCAGTTCTGATGAGTTCTGCTTCCGACTTACTCTGAAGGATCAACCCCTCACTCGACGAGGTATTCTAGCTACAGTTGCGTCTGTATATGATCCCCTTGGTCTCATTGCACCAGTTGTCCTTGCTGGCAGAATGATTCTGCAGGAAATGTGCAAACAAAAGATGGATTGGGATCATCCCGTTCCTGACTATCTTCGGACAAGATGGGAAATATGGAGACAGGAGATCCTGAAGCTAGAAACTGCAAAGATTCCTCGCTGCTTCCAGCCCAAAGATTTCGGAGAGGCTGAGGAAGTGGAATTGCACCACTTCTCAGATGCCTCATTATCTGGATATGGACAATGTTCATATGTCAGATTACGAAATCAAAGGGGACAAGTCCACTGCTCTCTTGCCATGGCAAAGGCGAGAGTAGCACCGCTCAAGCAGTCTACCGTCCCCAGACTGGAGCTTCAGGCAGCAACCTTATCTGCCAAGGTTGCAAAAATACTGAATAAGGAGCTAGACTACAGCTCAGTCAAGAATATCTTCTGGACCGACTCCAAGGTTGTTCTGGGTTACCTGTACAACCAGTCTAAGCGCTTCCACATGTTCGTTGCGAACAGAGTGGATTGTATTCTGAGAACCACAAGTTGTAGTCAGTGGAATTATGTTACTAGCGGTGATAATCCAGCTGACTACGCATCACGTGGACTGACAACAGAGGAACTTCTTTCGTCAAACTGGTTAGGAGGACCAGACTTCCTTTGGGAAAGTGAAGTTGCTAAGCAAGATGTCACACTAGAGGTTTCTCCTGACGACGTTGAAGTGAAGTCTTCGACAGTACATACAGTAATGTCAAAGACCAAGATTTCAACCTTTACGTCATTTGAAGATAGGTTGAACCGCTTCGCCATGTTGGACAGCGCTATTAGAGCGGTAGCTGTACTAGTGAGGTGTTGTTACAGGCGCAAGGGACATGACATAGATGATGTTGAGATCAAAAGAGTCGCTGAGAGAAATCTCCTGCATGCTGTCCAGAAAGAAGCCTTCTGTGATGAAAGACAGCAAATCAAATCTGACAAACATGCTGTGTCAAAATCTAGCCGCCTGAGTCAATTAGATCCATTTCTTGACAAACAAGACCTCCTACGGGTGGGAGGACGCATGAAGAGGTCTGAAATGGTGTATGGAGTTAAGCACCCTATTATCCTTCCGAAGGGTAGTAGACTTTCCATGCTTGTCGCACTTCACTATCATGCAAAGATTTCTCACCAAGGTAGAAATATGACCATCAACGCAATCAGATCAAGTGGATACTGGATCATCGGTTGCAGAAGCATTGTCTCATCTCTGATCGGCACATGCACCCATTGCATTAGACTAAGAGGCAAGTTGGGTGGACAGAAGATGGCTGACCTTCCATGTGAACGACTTGAGCCATCGCCCCCTTTCACTTATTGCGGTCTGGACTGTTTTGGTCCATTTGTAATCAAAGAAGGGCGCAAAGAGCTCAAGCGCTATGGCCTCATCCTGACATGCATGGCAATGAGAGCCATTCATGTGGAAGTATTGGATGACATGTCATCCGATGCATTCATCAACGGACTGAGATGTTTCATTGCTATTCGAGGAAACGTAAGGCGGATTCAGTGTGACCAGGGCTCCAATTTTGTTGGAGCCAAGCATGAACTGAAACAAGCTCTCCGTGAGATGGATGCGGACCATGTCGCCCGCAATCTTCTGGAGCAGAACTGTGAGTTCAAAATGAATCCTCCTTCCTCTAGCCATATGGGAGGTGTATGGGAGAGACAAATCAGAAATGTGCGCAATGTTCTCAATGGATTATTGGAACAGTGCGGAACGCAGTTGAATGTCTCCTCTCTACGGACATTTCTCTATGAGGCCATGGCTATCGTAAACAGCCGTCCATTGAGTGTGGATAACCTGGAAAGTCCTGATGGTCCTCTTCCGTTGACTCCCAATCATGTTCTGACCATGAAATCCGGTCTTATACTGCCTCCACCTGGAAGCTTTGAAAGGGAGGACATCTATCTCCGCAAAAGATGGCGTCGAGTCCAATACTTGACACAGTTGTTCTGGACACGATGGCAGAAGGAGTACCTGCACACGCTTCAACCAAGAAAAACTTGGACTGAAAAGAAGACCAATGTGCACGTAGACGACATAGTACTCTTGAAAGATGAAGCCATTTGTCGGACAGATTGGAGAGTTGCGAGAGTCATGGAAACAATGTCCAGTGATGATGGTCTAGTTCGGAAGGTGCGACTTCTCATGGCGACCCCAGACTTGGACAAAAAAGGTAAGCCAGTAAATAAGAGGACAACTCTTGAAAGGCCAGTACACAAACTGGTAGTTTTGATCCGCAGCACCGACAAGGCGATTGAAGACTAAGCTTGACTTTAATAGCTGACATTCACTTTTACCCAGACAAATGGCTTTGACTAACCTGGACTTTCATCCTGCCCTGACATTCTAAGAAATATTTTCTCAATTTGGGGAAGACCATTTGTATTTATAAATTTTGCAAGTCGGTCAATTCCTTGTTTTGTTTCAAATAGATAGTTTTGTTGTTTGAAAAATCAGTTAGATGATTTGGGTGGGAGTGTGGCTGCCGCCAGAATTTGTCATTAGTATTTTTAATTTTTGTTCATAGCACCACCTATTTTACATGTGCATCGCCCTTTAAGTAATTTCTTTTTGTTACTTAAGAAAGATTTACAGCGCATGCCTAGCGCGGGTCAATGTCAATAAAAGGCCTACAAACACATTTTTAGTACGCACGAGAAAATAGTTCCATACATTCAAGCATAAGAAATAAGTTATTATCATTAATTATGTACTGAAATGTAAAGTAATGTTCATTGAAATGCGAATAACATTAGTAAATTCTATCAAAACTAAATCGTTGGTCGTTTTAAGTAAAATTCCAGTTGGACAAATTATTTGATATCCGTGTGCCGATAAGTTCGGTGAACGCGTTGACCCTTGGCTTTTCTGAATTACGACCTGGCCCAAGCAATACGTGTTTTGTGGGGTCTTCAAGAAACGCCAAAGTTTCAAGGTATATTTTGCTGCCCAAGGATGGAAAAGTCCTGCCAACGAGTTTTCACGGCACTGTTCATCACTGTTACTTTGTTTTGACAATCGTTAAGTCAAATAAAGACATTCGTCACCAGAAAATGAACATCCGTTTCAACGTTGAGTTATTTTGATCCTGCGGCAGCAACACCTCCTGCATCTACCACATGACCTAAATACTCCACCGAATCCTGCATGAATGCACACTTGGATCTCTTCAACCGTAGTCCAAACTGACTCAACCTCTTCAACACACTCTCTAAGTTGGATGCATGTTCCTCGTCACTTGAACCTGTGACTATGATGTCATCCAAATAACATCCTACTCCCTTAAGACCATGGAGAATCTTGTCCATGCATTCCTGGAATATGGCAGGAGCTGAACTCACCCCAAACGGTAACCGTGTATACCTGTATAGACCTAGATGTGTGTTAATTGTGACATATTGTCTAGATTTCTCTTCTAAGTCTACTTGTTGATATGCATTCTTCAAGTCAAGTTTTGTGAACTTCTTTCCCCCTTGTAGGCTAGCAAACAACTCTTCAGGTCTTGGCATTGGATACTCTTTCACTTCTAACTGTGGATTGACTGTAATTTTATAGTCTCCACACAACCTTATCTTACCATCTGGTTTCTGTACCGGTACTACAGGAGCAGCCCAATCGGAAAACTCTACAGGCTCTAGTACCCCTTCTTTCACTAACCTATCAATCTCTTCTGCCACTTTGTCTTTTATCGCGAAGGGAATAGGTCTGGGCTTGAAGAACCTTGGTTCCGCATCACTTTTCACTTTCAGTTTGGCCTGAACCCCTTTTATTCTTCCTACACTGCTATCAAAGACCTCACTATCTGCTATTGCCTTCTCTATCCTATCTTGTGGTGTACCACTAGGTGTCACATGGTGTACCTCAAATATTTCTTTCCATCGTAGGGGAATTTCCCACAACCAATCTCTACCCAGTAAAGTAGGACCCTCATTCTTCACAATGATTAAAGGTAACCTTTCTTTTTTACCATGGTAATTCACATTCACCATACATTTGCCCATTACAGGTATCGTCTGTCGTGTGAAGGTCTTGAGCTTTATATCACATTTGTCTACCTTTACCTTCTGTTTGAAGTTCTTTTCATACACCGATTGACTAACAATCGAGACTCCACAGCCCGTATCAAGTTCCATCGACAATGTAGTATCTTCTATTTCTACATCAACCATGATAGGCTTCACACCTTTCCCTACTTTATGTACTCCAATGTAATACACATTATCATCATCATCTGTGTTTGACTCTGAACATTCAACACTACCCGACTCTGACTGGTCACCTTCAACATGACTTACGCCTAACCTAGACTTTCTTCTAGTCTTATACTTATGTTCTTGTCCCTTCCACTTACTAGTACTACCTGTACTCTTTGGGTTATTTTGTGATCTAGAGCTACCCTTCTTACTGTTCTTGCACACCTGTTTTAGATGTCCTTTACGGTGGCAGTTGTCACATGACAGTTCCCTATACCGACACTGTTTCTTGGTGTGTCCTTTTTTTCCACAACAATAGCATTCTATTTCTCCATAATTAACAGTTGTACTTGTAGAACTTTTCTGTTCAAGTGTTTTCAGTGCTGCGGTACCCTTACTGGCAGCTTCCATGCTCGTAGCCAGCTTCACCGCTTTCTCGATAGTGATGTCATCTTCGGACAGAAGACGCCTCTGAACGCTCTCCTCTGCTAACCCGCACACGAATCTGTCTCGAAGTGCTTCCTTTCTGAAGGTGCTAAAATCGCATGTTTCCGCCATTTTCTTCAACTCGGCGTAGTATGTAGCGATATTCTCATCAGCCCTCTGATTCCTCTGATAGAACTTGTATCTCTCTAGCATGACTGGTGGTTTAGGGTTGTAATGCTCCTTCAGCGCCTCATCGACCTCTTTCAATGTCAGCTCAGAAACCTTCTGTGGAGCTACCACACTCTTTAGCAGTCTATACTCTTTTGCTCCCATTACTGACAAAATTACAGCCACTTTCTTCCTTTCATCACTTATGTCATTAGCCACGAAGTAATAATCCATTCTTTCTCTGTATGATTCATATTGCTCAATGTCTGGATTGTAACTTTCAGCTCTCCCCGTTGTTGACGCCATTTTTACGATGCGACGTGTACGTTCACAGTCACTATACTATAGCTGACACCATGTTCAATATGTGGGCTAAATAGTTCACATCACCTCAAGACTGCCGACTTTTACTTCTATCTGCAGTCTATAGGAACACTGTCATCATTTTTTCATTAATGACTTACACTTTTCAGCTTATAGTTCACGGTTATCTTTATCCTCGTTGCCAATTGTCGTGTCTGTACATCATTTAGAACACTTTGGACACAACAAAGATAACACAATGGTCCAGGTTTGGGAGTCATATCTCTGCACGTTTTATTAACACAAGGTGGCGCTATACCACACCATCCTACCTCTACTACCATCCTACATCCACCCTACCCCACCCTACCTGTTCTTCCATTTTACCTCTACTACCATCCTACCTCTACTACTATCCTACTTCCACCCCACCCCCACCCTACCTGTTCTTCCATTTTACCTCTACTACCATCCTACGTCCACCCCCACTCTACCCCCACCCTACCCATTCTTCCATTCTACCTCTACTACCACCCTACCTCTACTACCACCCTACCTGTTCTTCCATTCTACCTCTACTACCATCCTACCTCTACTACCATCCTACATCCACCCCACCCCAACCCTACCTGTTCTTCCATTTTACCTCTACTACCATCCTACATCCACTCCACCCCCACCCTACCCATTCACCCATCCTACGTCCACCCCCACCCTACCCCTTCTTCCATTCTACTCTACTACCATCCTACCTCTACTACCACCCTACCTGTTCTTCCATTCTACCTCTACTACCATCCTACCTCTACTACCATCCTACATCCACCCCACCCCAACCCTACCTGTTCTTCCATTTTACCTCTACTACCATCTTACATCCACTCCACCCCCACCCTACCCATTCACCCATCCTACGTCCACCCCACCCTACCCCTTCTTCCATTCTACTCTACTACCATCCTACCTCTACTACCATCCTACATCCACCCCAGCCCCACCCTACCTGTTCTTCCATTTTACCTCTACTACCATCCTACATCCACTCCACCCCCACCCTACCCATTCACCCATCCTACGTCCACCCCCACCCTACCCATTCTACCATGATACCTCTACTACCATCATACGTCCATCCCCCACTCTACCCCCACCCTACCCGTTCTTCCATTTTACCTCTACTGCAATCCTAACTCTACTACTAACCTACGTCCACCCCCACTCTACCCCACCCTACCCATTCTTCCATCCTACCTCTACTACCACCCTATCTGTTCTTTCATTCTACCTCTACTACCTCTACTAGATTCGTACATCCACCCAACCCCCACCCTACCTGTTCTTCCATTTGACCTCTACTACCATCCTACATCCACTCCACCCCCACCCTACCCATTCACCCATCCTACGTCCACCCCCACCCTACCCATTCTACCATGATACCTCTACTACCATCCTACCTCTACTACCATCCTACATCCACCCCACCCCCACCCTACCTGTTCTTCTATTTTACCTCTACTACTATCCTACTTCCACCCCACCCCCACCCTACCTGTTCTTCCATTTTACCTCTACTGCGATCCTACCTCTACTACTATCCTACGTCCACCCCCGGCCACCCTACTCCTTCTTCCATTTTACCTCTACTACCATCCTACCTCTACTACCATCCTACATCCACCCCAGCCCCACCCTACCTGTTCTTCCATTTTACCTCTACTACCATCCTACATCCACTCCACCCCCACCCTACCCATTCACCCATCCTATGTCCACCCCCACCCTACCCCTTCTTCCATTCTACTCTACTACCATCCTACCTCAACTACCACCCTACCTGTTCTTCCATTCTACCTCTACTACCATCTTTCCTCTACTACCATCCTACATCTACCCCTCCCTCCCTGTTCTTCCATTTTACCTCTACTACCATCCTACGTCCACCCCCACTCTACCCCCACCCTACCCGTTCTACCTCCCTACGTCTACTACCACCCTTTCTACCTCTACTACCATCCTACCTCTACTACCATCCTACATCCACCCACCCCCACCCTACCCATTCTTCCATCCTATGTCTCCTACCACCCTACCTGTTCTTCCATTCTACCTCTACTACTATCCTACATCCACCCCACCCCCACCCTACCTGTTCTTCCATTTTACCTCTACTACAATCCTACCTCTACTACCATCCTACGTCCACCCCCACCTTACCACCCTTCTTCCATTCTACCTCTACTACCATCCTACCTCTACTACCATCCTACATCCACCCTACCCCACCCTACCTGTTCTTCCATTTTACCTCTACTACCATCCTACCTCTACTACTATCCTACTTCCACCCCACCCCCACCCTACCTGTTCTTCCATTTTACCTCTACTGCAATCCTACCTCTACTACTATCCTACATCCACCCCACCCTACCCCTTCTTCCATTCTACCTCTACTACCATCCTACCTCTACTACCATCCTACATCCACCCCAGCCCCACGCTACCTGTTCTTCCATTTTACCTCTACTACCATCCTACATCCACTCCACCCCCACCCTACCCATTCACCCATCCTACGTCCACCCCCACCCTACCCATTCTACCATGATACCTCTACTACCATCCTACGTCCATCCCCCACTCTACCCCCACCCTACCCCTTCTTCCATTCTACTCTACTACCATCCTACCTCTACTACCACCCTACCTGTTCTTCCATTCTACCTCTACTACCATCCTTCCTCTACTACCATCCTACATCTAGCCCACCCTCCCTGTTCTTCCATTTTACCTCTACTACCATCCTACGTCCACCCCCACTCTACCCCCACCCTACCCATTCTTCCATCCTACCTCTACTACCACCCTACCTCTACTACCACCCTACCTGTTCTTCCATTCTACCTCTACTACCATCCTACCTCTACTACCATCCTACATCCACCCCACCCCAACCCTACCTGTTCTTCCATTTTACCTCTACTACCATCCTACATCCACTCCACCCCCACCCTACCCATTCACCCATCCTACGTCCACCCCCACCCTACCCCTTCTTCCATTCTACTCTACTACCATCCTACCTCTACTACCACCCTACCTGTTCTTCCATTCTACCTCTACTACCATCCTACCTCTACTACCATCCTACATCCACCCCACCCCAACCCTACCTGTTCTTCCATTTTACCTCTACTACCATCTTACATCCACTCCACCCCCACCCTACCCATTCACCCATCCTACGTCCACCCCCACCCTACCCCTTCTTCCATTCTACTCTACTACCATCCTACCTCTACTACTATCCTACATCTACCCCATATAGTCTACCCTATCCTACGTCTACCTTCTACTTGTTTTCCCAGCCTACCTCTACTACCACCCTACCTGTTCTTCCATTCTACCTCTACTACCATCCTATGTCCACCCCCCCCCCCACTCTACTCCCACCCTACACGCTCTACCTCCCTACGTCTACGACTACCCTTTCTGTTCTTCCATTCTACCTTTACTACCATCCTACATCCACCCCACCCCCACCCTACCCATTCTTCCATCCTACTTCTACTACCACTCTTCCTGTTCTTCCATTCTACCTCTATCCTATCCTACGTCTAACCTCTACTTGTTTTCCCAGCCTACCTCTACTACCACCCTACCTGTTCTTCCATTCTACCTCTACTAGGTGTCCTCCGCTGCATAGCTTTCCCAAAGTTCTCTCGTATAGTAAGCAACTCATCCTGTATGGACTCACTTCCTTGGAACTAAGGAATGAGCTTCTCCTTCGTTTTGGTGAAGGTTTGCTCCAGTCTGATCGTTATCGTAACTTTTTGCCCCCTACTAGACAATCACAGTCCCGTACGCGATTACAACTTCGGAACTCTCATAGTCTTGACATTCCATTTTGTAGAACGCAGAGATATAGGCTATCAAGTATCAACTATCCCTTCTCTGTCAGTCCTTTTGAATTCCTCATTGTAATGCAGTATATCAACTTATTTATTTATCTATTTATCTTTCTCCCTGTTCATAGCTGTGTTATTTTTGTGAGATTTCACGTAATATGCAATGATCTTCAATGATCATCTATAATGCAGTTCATTTTAATTTGCAAATTTATTTACCATGGATATTCCCTGTTCTTTGATCTTATTTTTCACTTTTCTATACTCCCTTTTTTCTTGTCTTCCCTCTTCCCCTCTCTTCTTCTATTCGTATCTGTTTCCTCTCTATCGTTTATAAGATGCATGATTTCTCTATTCCTTGAAATGTCAGTAGGGTCATCACAATTTTCTTTTTTCCTTTTTTTGTTTGTCTTTCTTTCTTTCTTCTTTCTTCCGCCTTATAAGCAAATAGTTTTACTGTGTATCACTATCCGTTTACATGCAAGTGTATTGCCTTATTGTGTATTCTCAATTCTTTACTTGTATAATTATTCTCTTTAACACGTTGTTGACATATTGCACCTTTAACTCTAATAACTTTGATTTTATTGTTCTTCAATGTAATATACCCATGTTACTTTACCTCGTGCAATATCTTTTTGATAATATTATCCTTGTACTTTTAGGTTGTTACATTACGTGCTTTATCATGTTACTCATGCTTTGTGTGAAACCCCTTCTCCTTCCTCTTCTTTTAGGTCCTCATCTTTTTCTTTTTTCTTTCTCTTTTCTTAACCCCTTTCCTCAGCTATTATCACCTTTTCCCTCTTTCTTCTTTCTTTACACAATACATTTCTAGTTCCGTTTTTCTCTTTCTCTTTCTCTCTCTCTCTCCCTTTTTTTTGATGACACAGAAGGTTTTTAAGGTTTTTAATATTTTTAATATTTGTAATATATTTGAATATTAACGTAATATTTGTAATATATCTCGAGTTTGATGTAATATTCGTAATATATTTAGATTTTGATTTAATGTTTGTAATATATTTAGATTTTGATGTAATATTTGATTCTCATTTTGCATAATTTATAGTCGTACGTTTTAGTCATTTATATTTTGTTCGTTTATTGTGTTGTATATTGACTTTGTAAATTGAATTATTTCAGCTTCCCAGCTGCATTTTCTTTTATTTCAATAAACCGAATCAAATCAAACTACCATCTTATGTCCACCCCCCCCCCCACTCTACCCCCACCCTACCCGTTCTTCCATTCTACTCTACTACCATCCTTCCTCTACTACCAT